CTAATATCACAGACTCTATTAGCTCCAGAAAGAGCTTAGTCTGCAGAGGACTGAGCCCTTAAAATTGACCAGCCTAACTCCTCAAAGATGGAGAAGCTGTTGATATATGTAAAGTAAACGCATAATGTGTTTCACAAAGCGATCTGGGTACTAGGTAAGGCAAATACCTACTTTCATAATGTAGCTGAGCACACTGGGTATCTACTTCCTATTGAAATCTGTTGAACGTTGGCAGCTTACTTAACCTGACACCTTCAAGTTTTTGCTAGGTACCAATATCTACCCTTTAGGTACCTGGTATCTGTTAAGATCTGTACTTCACTGAAGAATTCTCAGTGTTCAGATTCTTAACCATCTTCACTAAAACACTATTTTAGAAATGATCTTAAAAGTAAGGATTCTTATTTGATATTGGACTTCAGTCTGAAAATACTGTAACTTTTATGTGACAAGTTTATGCATCTTCATTCAAATTCCTCTGCTTTTCTGGTTAACACTGAAGGAAAATAGTTATTCTCATGAGGAAGTAATTTCCTCTGAAATGAGTTCTTTTTTTTTCCCCTATGTGTTAAGACTCAATCTTTTCAAGTGCAAGGCCTCTAAGTAAGAGTTTTCTTAATGAAACAACAATCTTGGTAAGCTAGGATCTGCCTTCCAAATGGAATTGAAGAAAATCTCCCTTTTTAGATCTGGAATGTAACCAGTTATAGAATTTCAGTGTCTGGAATGCTTGAGATTTACAAGCTAGCTTTTCTCAGCCAGGTATTGTGAAGTTATTGTCAGAGCTTGAGTTTTAAGACTTTGTAGTTTTAAAAATATATTATTTTGCAATTTTTTATAATTAAATTCTGCAGTTGTATTTTATGTAAGACTAGGAATTTAAATGTATGGTGTTAGAAAGCTTTTCTAGAATTTTTGCTGTGTGAATATCATTAAAGTTAACACAAATGTCCTGTTAAAAACCTCATGCATCTCCCATCTGAGTTTCTGCTTTAAAGACAGTCCTAATCTTCAAAATTATTCTAACAGCACAAAGAAGTTAGCTTTTTTTTTCTGCTAATAAATTCACTTTCTCCCCTGTTTTAAGTAAACGTGATTTAAATAACTGTTACCTTTTAAAACTCATTCAGCTAAGTAAACAGTTGAATTTCTTTTTTTGTTATTAAACATTAGTTAAAAAAAAGTATAATATTATTCTAAGTATGGATCTCAACTCTGAGGATGACTGTTTCCCTAATCTGGGGAAAATCATCTAACCTGTCATTTCTATTTTCTACTTATGTTAAATGTTATGAAATTATTATGTTTTTTTAAAAAGTTAATATTGAGGAGTTAGATTGCATAGGCTTATGAAGTATTTAGACTACTCGGATACTGGTTGTTGAGGGCAGTGAAATACTGTTGTTCTCTCATTACTTTATTGATTTAACAGTAACTTACATTTTGCTTCAGCTCATTCAACAAGAATATACATCTTTTCTTCAAAAAGTAATTTAAAACACAGACAAGTGTATTTTAATAATTACTCAATTGATTAATCATTTAGTAATCTGACTATTACAGATGCTAAGCACAGTGGTGGTTTAAAGTACTTGCAACAGAACTAAAAGTGAGACCATATTGTGCCATATAATGTCTTTTAAAGGTCATGGAAATTGTCCCGTTGTCATGTTTTATTGTGTCATGGAATGTATTTACACCATTTTGCATACCTTTAATGACATGCAAGTTATTATAGGTAAGCTATGAGGCAAATGTGTAATTATCCCCCTACCATAGAAAATGTGTTTTGTGTAGTTGTTCAAAGAGCTTGAACTGCACTCTAAATGGCTGTTTTAAGAAAAATAACTTTCATATGCAATCATAGACTCATTTGGATTGGAAGGGTGTTGCAGGTCTCTTGTCCAATCTTCTGCTCAAAGTAGAGCCCACACTGATTTTAGACTAATTTGCTTAGGGCTTTGTCCAGTCAGGTCTTGTAAACCTCCAAGAATGGAGATTCTGTAGTCTTCTATGAGATCCCCCAGATGAGATTAGCTCATTTCTGTGTCACAGAGTATTTCTCAGCACTAATGCAAAAGATAAGTAAGTAAGTAAGTAGAACCTTGTTAAGTAAATTTAAAGAGCCTGCATACTGGAGCAGTTTCTGGGAAAAGTGAATGGTTATTGAAGGTGGCTAAATAGAATGGCTATTTAAACCACAGGAGCTTATATTTCAGTTCTGAACCACAGTCTATTTATACTTTGTGGTATCTGTGGTAAGTAAAGAAAAAAGCTAGATGAAAGCCAATGCATCTGAAGGAATGTAGATAATCTCTGTGAATTTTCTGACTATTATTCACTGGTTTTAGCAATAAACTGATTTTTTTTTGAGACAGATGAAAATAAATATGTTTTATTTCAGAAGCGATTTTCTAAGGCACTTCGAAAGTTGGTCAACTGGGTTGATCTGATCTTGCTTTTCTGTTCACCTTTTCCATTATATATTTCCAGAATATGTTCTAACCTTTAACTCTGTTGACTATTAAAATGCCAGAAGAAATGAAAGAGAAAGCATAAAAGAAAGGCAAAATGCTGATTTTTCTTAAATACAGCCCCTCCTCTGTTAAGTCAAACACAAGGAAAGTATTGCAATATGTAAGGCCATACAAATGTGCTACTGAAGGATTGTATCACTGGCACTCAGGTGTTTTTTTGTGAACCATTCACTCGTACGATGCATTTCAGATAGGACAGCTGTAAAAGATAAAGCAGCCTTGGCTTACCTGATAATTAAGGTAATATGGTGATCCATTAGATGAAACAAGTAGCAGTAAGGGCTAATTACCATTGGGGTTCAGGAATTGACTGACTGTATTCCTATGTTCTTGAATTACATAAACTAAAGATCTTTAGAGGAGTTTGTATCTGCATTTATTTTAAAGCTTTTTTGGCATATGTATTCATATATTAATGTGCATATTCACATTTTAATTCAAACTTCAGTAAAGCTTTTGAGCACAATCTTAATGAGATTTTTTTCTTTTAATTTTTATTTCAAAGCTTCAACTAACCTAGTATAGAGCTAGAAACATTTGCTAGTATGTTAATGTTGATCATGAGTGTGACTTTTTTTCAGTGTTTATATATCCATTACCATCTATTGTGTTCAGTGAACAAGTAATAGATAAACTAGCAAAAACACAGTGAAGGTTTAGTGATACAGCTGTACTGACAAATTTTTCTGCATAGACCTGTTTATATCTACACTTTGATGTTTGATATTAGCAAGTCAAAAATCATAAATGACTTCCAAATTATATTGGAAATATTTTTTTAAAAATAATTTTTTTTTAAAAAAAGAAATCTTTGTTAAAGGGAATTGTTGTCATTTTCTGAGAGTGCTGTTATAAAGAGAGTGTGTCATGTAGAGGAAAAATGGTTGACTATAGACACTTGTAATGAAAAGTAGAGCATTTAAGACCATTAGTAATTAACTTGACTCCATCCCAGTCATCTAGCAGCTGTTTTAGCTAATTTTTGGTGATCTTTATCTAAGCACAATTATCACAATACTGAGAAAACTTGTAGGCAAACGGAACAGAATGAAATGATAGAATGCATTAGTCATGTAGGGCTTAGCTGAACACTTTAATAGCTAGAAAATTAAGATGTCTTTTCTTTGTCAGGTCACATTCATTTTGGCTGAAGTTTCAAACTAGTCATACAGACTCACATATTTCTATATCTGTAAGTACGGTTTCTGCCATCTGAGGGTTAATTCCAGTACCTGCTGGAACTGTAACCTTCCTTTACCTGCTGTAACTCTGAGCATGCTATGAAATTCAATTAGCAATAGTATGTGGCAAAGATTTTTTACATTTTTGCATTGTTTCTTTTGAGATGTCCATTGTGCGATTTGCTGCAGGCTCTCATTTTTGTCTGCTATCCAATGTATGTTGGCAAGAGGGTTGTGTACTAGTCTTTGTGTCTGGTCACAGAAAAAAATTCATGCATCTCAGCCAGACCATTTTGTTATTCCTTTAGAATTAAAAGCATATGAAACAGATCCAGATTAATAAGTATTTTTTTTTATAAATAACATTTAAATAACTTAGAACAATAAAGTTCAAATACAACTTAAAATAAAGTTTAATGCTGTAACAACAGAAAAAGCATGTATAAGGATGGAAAAACAATATTGAAAGCTGTATGCCCTAACAGTAATTATACAAAAGATAGGATATGTTACATAAAAAACCTTAATATGTCTGAATTTTTGCTTCATCGTTATATAAAATGTTAATTTGTGAAAAGTGAGATGAAGTACATTATTTATTCCTATTCTTATTTTACATACACTATTTGAAACATCTTTTAGAGCAGCATTAGGTATTTGTTTCATTAATAGATAGGAACATTTTGTAGTAGAGTAATCATAATTTTTCCAAACTAACTCTTTTATCTGAATACAACAATAAACATTTACAAGATTATATATTTTTTTTCTGATCATATAGTTTATGTATAGGATATCAGTTTCTTGGGGGAAGTATTTAAAATACTGCTCAGCCTCCACATTTACTATTGACTTGATAATCTGACAACACATTCCAGCAGCCTTAAAGTCTGACATATTTTACACAACATTATCATCTGCTTATTATTATTATAGCAGCCATATTTAAGAAGCAGATAGGTTTTTTTAAATAAAATATTATCAGATAATCAAGTAATGACTTATTCTTCAGGGTAAATTAATTTAAGAAACTACACAGTTACAATGACTAAGGTAATGATTGTACAACTCTTTAGAATTTTTTACAACTTTTAGTTAGTAAATCTGGTTTTGTGTATATTTTCAAATCTTTTTCATGTAGTCTCTTAAAAATAAACATAAATGCGCAAGTCCAGCTTGTTCAGTTTCTCAGTAGTATTCCAGCCTCTCTTGATATCTTGTCAAAGAGTCTTCTTAAAAATAATCTTCCTGCTGGAACTAGTTCTTTATATATCATTTGTGATTAGGATATTGCCAGAGGAAGAAAGTGGGATGCTCTATGTTCTTTCTTTGTTTTTTTACCTTTCATGGGGACCCCTTTGTGGTTTAATGTAACAAACATCTCCTTTCCTTTGTGTGTCCATTTTGCAGAAGCATATGTATTATAATGGTTTTCTTCAATCAGTTCTATGAAGTTGCAGTCCTCATTGCATACTTTCTGTTGAGAGTAAATAAATAAATAGAGTGAAATAAGTACAAGTGTTTTTTTAAATACTTAGATGAGGGAAGATGGGAGAAGAATATGCATTATAATAAATAAATTGGATTTTTGAAATTTGAATATTGAATATTTTAGCTTTGTCTATTCCTCCTTAGTATTCCACATTTTTAAAATGTATATAAACTCTAATCACTGAATTTATTAAATGGACAGAAAAGTCTAGCATGGGATGTATGGGATAAGTACAGGATACGTTTTAATTTGTTAGGAATCTATTTTAAACAAACTATACAGATGCTGCATCTAAAAATATGTATCTTTAAGATTGCATATGACAATTGCACGCACAAGAGAAGTTTGCATCCATACCTTTCCATAGAGTCTTCCTGACTTGTTCATTGCCAGAAAGTATTCACTTTCCACTCCTTTGATTGCCACTATTCCAACTGCCACTGTTCGGATTTCTAGAATACCTGCAAAGGCACACAGTAAGGGCTGTAAAATGGTGGTTTGTTCTCCAGTCAATTTGGAAGGTTTAGTTGAACTAATATTCTGTAATACTTCTGTGTTCATTGAAGATCCGCAGCAATCGTTCTTAGAAAACAAAAACTATGTATTTATTCATGTGAAGAAAGGGCTAGACTTTAAAAATCATCTGCATGTGATCATGTCTGTACACAGGCATTTAAAAATTGTATGGTAGTAATTTTTAAGTATATACTGAAGTTGTGATGTTAGTGTAAGTAATTTTTCTATTTTCAAAGCATCAGCATATCTTAGAATTTATCAGGCTCGGGGTTTCATTTGGAAGATTTATGTACAGAGCATCAAGGTTCACAGAATTTGTGTAAAGCCTTTATTTTGAAGACATGTGTAGCAGTATCATCTCCTGCAACTGATAGAAAACAGACCACAGTGTCTTAAATAAGATAAAGTATTTGCTTGACCTTTGTATGCTTTTATGACTGATTGGAGCTGTAAAGATACGTGTATTTGAAAATGATTAAAAGCTGCTCTGAGAACTTATTTATTCAAAACCAGAAAATATTTAGAGTTGTTTTCTATACATCACTTTATTTTCATCTCACTGTTGCATATCTGCAATAGCTTTCTGTAGTCTCTGTGATACAATTAAGTTACCTGCAACATTAAAAATACTCTTATGTTAATAAAAAAAACCCAACAACTGAGCAAAGGCAGGAGAGTGGCACAAGGAACAACAGGTTGTTTTGAAACTTAAGTATTATTATTGTTTTAAGCAATAGTTTAGAGTTATACTTCTAAGTTTGATCCATTTTCTTCCATATTGAGTCACCTACAGAACTGTGTGCAGTAGCATCTGTACTGTGACTCCTTCTCCAAAGTGGGGTCTTTCAAAGCCAGCCAACTCTAGGCAAATTCCAGTAGCTAAGCATGGGGGAGACAAGTGAGGGAGGGGGAGAGAGAGGCTTGTGTTAGATTGTCACCTGAAAGATGACTTTCCTCTTGAACAAAACATTTCCCATTTTTCTCTTTCAAGTTTGTATTGACTCTTGATAGCCACCACACATGATAATAATTTTTCATTAATTACATTTTTTAGAAAGACATTAAATATCTATGATATTTCTCCTTCCCTATACTTTTTTAATATCCTGATGTTCTTTGCTTCCTTTACTGTTCTGTTTTGCTTTCTTCCTTGATGTTAGTGATGTATCAGTCCTAGCCTGTATTGCTTACATTTTTTTTCCTACCTTCCCTATCAGTAGATCAGTTACCTGTTCTCATGGTGTGTGCCCTGCTGGGCATTCGTCTCTGAACACTTCTGTACTTCTTATAATGCTAAGCCAAGTAAAGCTTTTAGAATTCTTTGTCATGTTCCACTCTGCTGCAGGCCTAGCAACAATTCTTACAAAGGGTAATTTCTAACTGAAACTTACAAAAATTATATTAACTTTCATTTAAATTTCACTTTAGAAAAACCACAGTGAAACTGAAAAACAGATGAACATCTGCATCTAGCCAAACAAAGAACATAACAGTGGAAGGGATCTCTGGGTCATCAAGTCCAGTGCTCTGCTAGCCTGGGAATTGCATCAGATAATTCTCTTTTCATAAACTTTGCCAATACTAAATTGGAGTTGTTATTTCTTTGCCCCCAGTGTTTCCGCCAAAGGCTGTTCCAGAGTTTGATTTATTTTAATGGCTAGAGACTCTGTAGTAATTTGCAATCTGCATTTTTTCAGCGACAGCTTATATCCATTTGTTCTTTTGCCTGTGCTGGCCATTAACTTAAGGAGAGGCTTTTTTAAAAAACATCTATGTTTGAGTTTTCTATTTATACAAAACTAAAAAAATGAAAGTTCAAAATGACTTTTTAAAACAAGTCATTCTAATAGGAATAGAAATTTCCTTGAGTAAGCTGATGTTGGCTGAAGTTACAGTAGTAAGAAATACTACTACTTTTAAAAAGGAAATGCCAAAAGCTTTTGTCCAAGGCAATATTATTGTTAGAATTTTTACATTATTTTTTAGCTTGTGTTTTTTTTTTTTTTTCTGAAGTAGATGGTGACATTCATACTAACTTGTAGGAATTATTTTATTTTGGTTTTGGGTACTTGTTTTTCTACGTTATTCTCAGTTGAGACATAAATGTCTTTCATGTGGAAACTTTACACTAACCATATAGAATTTGGTATAGGATAGAAATTGGGTATGTAAAAATATTTTATAAGCCTGCTGTATAGCAAATCTGAATGACAAAACAAAATATTATCTATCACAGTTATATTCTACTTGTAATTTACAATGGCATGGCCTGTGGTAGATTTATTGTATTCAGATTTTTGCATGGTTTTTCATCTTGTTAAAATCCCATTGTGCATAAAAAGCAATGCATTTAAAGACAGATAATTTGAGATTCATAATTGTTATGCATATTCAATATTATTTGCTATATTATTACATGCTTTTCACAATTTTAAGCAATTATTTACCTCCAGAATTAGGGCTAGCTCTCACGTAGATAACATTTGACACCCTGACTCAGAGTTGATAAGAAATCTGAAGAATGTTTTAAGTCTTTGAATGGCACTTTTCTAAAGATACTCTGTCTGTGCATCTCTCCATAACGTTTAGTGAGGGAACACCACTCTCCAATAACTATGTCACATTAAAAATGTTGTAAAATTGGTGATGAGAGAAAGAAAAGAGACCACAGATAGTTCAGTGGAAGCCGAGCTTGTGTATTCTTGATTCTTTGCTCAGAACATGTCTGTCTCAGAATTACATGTCCTATCACAGACTGCATGTGCACTTTTTTCTGTTCCCCATTCTAGATCATCTCATCTGTTCTGATGCATATCCATGAAGGAGAAACAAAGCATCAATTTTTTCTCTTTTCAGCAAAGCATTTATGTGATTTGGGTCTGTGAGGCAGCATCTCACATGCACTTTTGTACTTGATGTGCAGGTGACTCATGACTGAGCTCCTCTCTCTGTTTTAAGGTGTATCACACAAATTCTTTAAGCAGTAAGACAGCATACTGCAAGCTCCTTTTCTTCTTCTGGAGGCTGTGCCTCTGTAATTCTTCTGCCAATTCAGAAACATAGTATTGCTGCAATTCATTGCATATTTTTTTCTTTAAATAAATTATGTAGGAAATGGAAACACAATTTTTGGCAGGCTGGGAAGAGTAAGATTTTACTGTGTAGTTACAACCATGATAGCTGATTTTAGCTGAGAATTTGATTTATGATATTTCAGTATATAGTCTTTTGTGTGGAACTCACTTGTTTTGTTAACTACAAAATATGATGTAAATACATGAATTTAAAATTTCTTCCTTTATGTACAGAAACTATGGAAAGAGACTATTAAGACTGAGAAGTCATACACTGAAGTTTATCCATTTATCAGTGTCAGCACTGCAGTTGTATCACATGCTTAAATTTACTATCCAATATCAGAGGTACCTCACAGGAGAGACCAGGAAGAAAGATTTCTAAGTAATATTGAATTTACAATTCAGTAACAGAGATTTCAGTACTTCAACTGTTTTATGAGGTTCTTCTGAATTTATAAGGTTTATAAAATGTATAGGATTTTTTTCCTGCGCACCTATTATGTGCTGCGTAATTCTCAAAGCACAAGTTCTTTGATGAACTAGTTAATGGAATCTTTAACACTTGTAAGCAACATAATCTTACTGTGAAAACATCTAAAACTACTTTCTATTTTTTTAATACTCATCTTGATGTATAAACACTCAACACAAACTTTCAGGTTAAAAAGTCATGTGGATAACGGAAATCGCTGTCTCTTCCAATTATAATTTTATAACTTACATTTAAATATAAAATGAGGTTTTATATTATATCATAATTATAGCACCAAGCAGGAAATTCCCAAATTATATATATACCAAAGAATAAAATAATAGATTTATAAAATAGAGAAAGTAAGTTGTATTTTTCCTCTTTGTTTCATTTCCTGTCAGTATCTCTATTAAGTCACGATATCACATTATATTACACTGTCTGGCATTATAGTCGTACTGGTTTGTCTTTATTTTGTATGTGTTCCTGGTACTCAATCACTGTAAGATAAATTACATAATGGTAAATAGACACTAGGATGTGTTGTTGCAGATACAAACCTAATTCATCAGTAGGTGTCGAGAGGTAATAAAACTATTCAACCAGAATTTTGGCCAACTGCAGGTATTTCGTGTTTCTTCTGTAGTTTCCATAATCATCTGCTACTGGCAATACTTGCCAAAAGGATGCTGGGCTAAATTCAATTTGGATCTGAGCTGATACAGTTATCCTTATGCTCTTAGTGTATATGATTTGTTATTCAGTTGTGACTGTTACATTCAGCCAAGTCTGTGAATGTGATCTTTTTAGTTAGTTTTTTTTAAAAATACACCTCTTCTTTTTTCTCTTCTCTTTCATTTTGAAATTCTGCATCATTGCAATGTCTTTAATAAGACTAGCCAGGAACAACATTTGCTGTACCGTAAAGTAACCCAATAATCTCATTTTTCTATAAATGCAGGAAGAGCTTTGCTTCTGAGTAACTAATGGTATTACAATCAACAATGAAACAATAATATACTCTAAAGATTTGCTAATTCTTGTTAGCTGTTTCATTGGAAGGAGGTAAATCTCTATATCCATAGAAAAATGGTAGTAGAAGTAAACCTACTATGTCGTATTATGTTTGTAGGCCATCTTATACATAAAGGCAAAAATTCCGTCCTCATTAAAGTGAATAGTAAGATTTCAGCTAACTCAGTAGAGCCAGGATTTTATCCATATGGTTGTTCCTTCAGCGAGTCAGACGAGGTATAGTAAGCTAAAATGTTTTCAGAAACACACACACCCCCCCCCAGAAATAGAGCAAAATGCGGAACAGGCACACATGTGAGATTTGTCTGTGCCAGTTTCTAAGTATTAGTTTATGTAGCACCAGATACTTCAGAGAAATGAT